TATAAACATATCAAAGCAAATCAACGAAAGTATGATATGCACCCAAAACCTGTCGTCCAAGGTTTTCGAACCTAGGAGCTCTGATACCACCTGTGTCAGCCCTAGATTTCCAAACCCAGTGCGTCAGTGATGACCTAAAGTTGACCCAAAAACGGATCCGAAATGCGGAAGCGAAAAAAGTAAAATGGCCTCTAGAGATGTTAATGCAGCAAAATGACTCCCCATGAAACCACAGAACTCAAATGAGTCAAGTATTGAAGCAAGGATTTCAGACCCGAAAAGAAATGAACCAAAGTTAAAATGGTCATTTCAACTAAAATGGGTGCCACTGCGTATACCATTGCAAATACAACGAAAAATGAATGAAGTTAGACTCAAAAATCGCCTGATTCGGAGTCCGGACGGAAAAGATGAGAAAAAGAACAAAGTGGCATTCTCCGTTTAAGAGATACCATGAACCTATCTCACTAAAACTATAATAACTCTCATTACAATTGGAGTTTTGGTATGTGGTTGGTACCATTGGAAGGTTAACTTTAAGCTCTTGAATTTAGACTCAAGAATCACCTGATTTGGATTTAAAACGAGTAAGATATGATCCTCCAAAGTTGGTACAAGAAAGCTGTCTAAGGAAAACTGAAAAAGGAAAGCTCCAGGGAGAATCGGTCGACTGACAGTAAGAACCAATCGGCCAAAACTCAATCATCAGCCGGCCGAAGCTCAATCATCAGCCGGCCGAAATTACTTTTGTCACTAGCAAACCTACTGGAATTGGTCTCGAGGGTCTGTCAGCCGGCTGATTTCTGTTATCAGCTGACCGATGCACCTATTAGCAGTAGAAACTACTGCTGCAAGTGCAGGGAAAGTGCTCGACCTAATCCTAAGGTTGCACATGCATCCCATATGATCCGAAACAAGTTTAAAAACATTCCATAGCCTTATACAAGCATACATAACATGCTAAATCAAATGGGAAGCTTGAAACTTATTCCAATGCATGAATTTTTCATAAAAATTCATAAATCATCCAAAAATAGTTCAAAAGTCGAAACTTAAGAGTTTTGTGAGATGTGAACATGCGCGCAAACGTAAAATGATATAGTAAACGCACTATAATGGCCCACGGCCTCAGAGCATGTCATATGTAAAATATGACCCTTCAACCCTAGGAATCTCATAAATTCCTCAAACAAACTATAAAGATAATTTAGCATACATGTCATATAAATGTCTTTGGCCCTTGGCCACATTACATACACATCCAAGGAGTATCAAAAGGTGCACTTAAGTGCACATTACATAGTTTGAACAAAACTTACAACTTTTGACATAATAAACCAAAATGAAGCATGATATGTTAACAAGTGCATATTCTAATATAACAAAATTACTCCAAGTAGTCAAACAAGCCTAAGGATGTTGTGATTCCTATGATAAAGTCTCTTTACCTGAAAAACAACCCGATAATTTTGGAGTGAGTAAACAAGTTACTCGCAAGGAATGAGTATGTATAGACCTATCTTTTTACAAAATTATCACATTAACATGGAACAATTCAAAATGGGTTATGCCACCTAAAGTCTATGTCAAAATGTTTCTATAGAATCACGCCTAAGTCATCTTAGCATAAGGCAATATCTAGGAAATTGAACAAGATTGGAATAATTCATACAACACGACGAGATTTAAATCTTCAAAGAATACAACTTGAAATTTAAATAGTGAAATCAACCAATGTGGATACTTGGATATCGCCCGAATTAAAACCGTACTCTTGGAAACACTTTAGGGTTGCTAACCCATGGGTAACTTCTCCTAGTGCACACTATAGTGTAGGGAGCTCTCTATCTCCCGTACTAGAACCAAGTCCTAGCCAAGTCAAGTTTTTGATGATATCCCAAGTCTCCAAAATCAACAAGTTGTGCAACCAATAGTGTATCAAGATACAAATAATGCATTAAGCCACATTCCATGCACAACCAAGATTTTGGAACACACAAGTTATGCCCTAAGTCCTCAACTATAATGGCATGTGAAATGTCAAGAAATTATAGTATGTATCTACATAGACTACAATTAGGATTTAAAACACATAGAATCCATTGATGTAAATATACCACTAGTATAAGATTAATGATTTAATTATTTACTAAGCAATACATGAGTAATTAAATCATTCAAAGACAATTGTGCTAATTTATGAACTACATTAATGAAATCAAGTTACAAGAAGTCTAGATACATGATAAAAACACAAAAGCCCCATGAAATACATGACTAAGTCATTAGAACGATTATATAGAAATTAATTATTTTCTTTATATTTATAAAGTTATTCAAATGATCCCAATTTAATATATAACAAGGATTAAGTCATGGCCATGCCATATATCAAGTCCAAAATGGAATACAAGTAAAGTATAATTAAGTAGAATTTAAATCAATTTAAATTAATTTAATCTCTATATTTAAAAAACAACTCCAAATGACTTAATACCAATACAAGTTATGGATCAAGTCATGGCCTTTAAGAAAATCATGTCCTAGCTTAATTTCATGCAAGGTGTGACAGTTTACAAATTTCAAAATTTAGTAAAAGACACGTAAACAATTTATTGTGACTATAAATACTATCAAAACACTTAGATTATAAACCTAAATCACCCCCTACCTCACTGGAGAAAAATATCTCTAGAATCTAAGGTAAACAAGCTTCAAATGATCTACCTTTCAAGGGTTATGTAGAGGAGGATGAGAGGATCAAAAAGTATTCCCAAGGTTAAGCTTGAATATCAATGGAAGGCTCTCAAAAATCAAAGTTAAAGCTTAAGGCTTTGAGCTTCATCCATGGAGGCTAGGGTTCTAATGTAAAGGATAATGCAAAATGTGAGGGAGATGAAATATGAGTGGAATATAGAGATCCTCCATTCACTGTGTGAACTAGCACCATGATCGACACACACTTCTTTGGGTCAATTACACAAAAACCCCTCTTTAAAACCATAATTCCAAAATAACCCAAAAATATTTGCATCAAGTTCCCTCCTCTAAATATCTTGCAAACTTAATTGCAAAATGGTCCTCAAGACAAAAATAATTACTTATAGTAATTACCCAAATAACCCCAAAACAAGAAAATTTCCAAAGAAAGTGTGCACCTACACCCCTAAGGAAAAGTGTACTAATGGCATGCATTTCTAGTAAAGTAAAAATACACGTGTCAATTAAATCATGATACATGGATGCATGCTAAAGGGGAAACAAAACCGAACATAAGAAGTGAGGTTATGCAAGGGAAAACAAAACTGGGAAAAAGACGAAAATGGAAAAAAAAAAAAAAAAGTGCCGAAAAAAGAAATAAGAGAAATGACCGTGTCATTACATTCCATCCAATCGAAAAAAAAAGGGAAGTACACAATTTCTTCCCTATGAATTGCTCATCATTCATCTCTTATTCTCTCCCTTCCATTCAATTTTCTTCCGTCCTACCATACCAAGCTAAGAGTTATTCCTTGAAAGGTTGGTGATAGAGCTGCAATTGAGTCGAGTTAAGCGAGCCATGATGTGCTCGAGCTCGGCTCGGCTCAAGTGATAGAATGCTCAAGCTCGGCTTGAACTCGAGCCAAGCCGAGAAATTTTGGTTCAAGCTCGGCTCGGCTCTGTTCAACAAGCCTCAAGCCGGGCTCGAGCTATTTAACTGAAAATTTTTTTTTCCCGCATCTAACCAATCTAAAAAAAAAAAAAATGAGAGAAATAGATTTACAATAATAAAAAGAGAGAAGTTTAAGAGAAAAAGAGAAAAAAAGTGATAAATTTGATCGAAAATTAAACTTACCAGGCTTGATTTTGATGGAAGAAGTTGAGTGATGCACAGATCAATAGTAAACCCCAAAATCTACACTAAAAATTAGTTTGGATGAAAGACAATTAATACATAAAAATCAAATATAAGAAAAGAAAGAGAGAGAAGTAAGATTCCATGACAGAAAGCAAATTGTTGAGTGTGTTGCCACTGCTGTTTGGGCTACTGTTAATTTTAGGAAAAGGAAAGATGATTAGGGTTAGACATAAGACATGGGCTTGGGTTTGATTGTACAGATGGGCTTGTGTTTGATTGTACAGATGTGTTTGGTTTTTGTTTTAAAATGAATAAATGATAAAATTGGGTCTAAAACATAACTAAAAAATTTAATGGGCTAGTGTTTGATTGTGCAGATTGGCTTAATTTTTGTTTTAAAATGAATAAATAATAAAATTGGATCTAAAACATAACTAAAAAATTTAATGGCCTGTGGACTAAGCCTTCATTACATAAAATTATATATTATAATTGGATATGTGTGTGTGTATATATATATCGATATATATATATTATAATCGAGTATGTTCGCGAACGCCTTATCGAGCTCAGTTCATGAACGGTTTATGAACAAACGAGTCGAGCCTACAGATGTTCAGGCTCGGCTCGTTTATGATTCGAGCCTCAAAATTCGGCTCGAGCTCAGCCCTCTATGTTTTTATATATACGACTTCATTTTTTGTTTTTGATATAAATGTTGTTAATATTTGATTTTTTATTTTTTTTAATTTCATGAATTGAATTTAGTACGGTCATACATTTCAAATTAAAAGTTTACCTAAAAAAATAGTGTAATTACCATTAATCACCTACCCTAAAAATTAAATAAATAGTATAACGTTAACTCATCAACTAGGGCTGCAAATGAGTCGAGCCGTTCGCGAACTACTCGGGCTCGGCTCATTAACTACTCGGGTTTGCAGCTCTAGTTGAAGAGTTAACGTTAGACTATTTATTTAATTTTTAGAGTAGGTGATTAATGGTAATTACACTATTTTTTTTAGGTAAACTTTTAATTTGAAATGTATGACCGTACTAAATTCAATTCATGAAATTAAAAAAATAAAAAATCAAATATTAACAACATTTATATCAAAAACAAAAAATGAAGTCGTATATATAAAAACACAGAGGGCTTGTATTATTACATACGGATTATTGATCGGCAGACATAAAAAGAGCAGGTGAATCTTGTATGTACTACTCCTCGTTCTCTGTCGGAACTACTCAGTTAACCAGTACAGCCCTCGACTTCAACATTGGCGTCGCAGTAGAGAGAGAATCAATCTTTATAGAAATACATACATACAGATAGAGAAAGTAGAGAGAGATGGAGATAGAGTTGGAGCCGAGGGTGAAACCTTTGCCCTTCAAAATCAAGGGCACGTCTCGAGAATCGCCATCTCAGAAGGCCGCGCATGTCCTCGACACCGACCTTCGCAATCACTGGTCTACTGGTACCAATACCAAAGAATGGATTTTGCTCGAACTCGACGTATTCTCCTCTCTCTCTCTACACTTCAACTGTTATGCTTGAAATTGATGAATTCAGTTTCTTGTGATTGATTCAATTTGATCTTAATTCAGTTTATGTGAATTGTTTTTGTTTCTTTTTTCGAGTGTGCTGGTTTTTGGTATTGGATTGACTGTCATTTGGATAATTTTGAAGAATTTGGGTGAGAGTGAAAGTAGGGTTTCTCAGTGCATTAATATATTTTTTTTAGTATAAAGTTTATATATCACTTTGTTGCTGTTTGATAACCCAATTCGGCACTTAATTTTGAATGAATTAAGCGGCGTTTGATAATGCAATTTCAATATCACTTAAAAAACGGGTGTCACTTAAAATTGGGTAAAATTTTAAGTGACTTGTCACTTAATGCTGAACCCTTAAAATTCAAAAAGATATACAAACCAAAAACACAATTTTTATTATCACTTAAAATTTTCGGTACTTAGTTTTTCAGTTTTACCAAACAATGTGTCTTACGAAGTACAATGGATGGAGAAGTATGTGGAGAATTAGAATCTCTGTCGAGAAATTGGGTGTCACATAAAGGCTTAAGCAAACAAATGAGACTTGACTGTGACAACCGTGATCATAATCCCTTTGGAATGCTAGTTATGCTCAATATTATTCCATCTAAATAACATTATTGAGCAATGCTATTATCGGGATCTCTTTGCCATTCTTGTATTTGCTTAGCAAAGAAGGTGTTGTTTTATTTCAGAAAGAGGTTTAAGAGATGCTCTTTTGTAGATTTAATAATTACTGGGTAATAGCTGAGTGGTAATTTGAGTTCTCTTTATTGAATCACATTTGATTAACTCTATGGAAATTGTGTCGGAAAATTTGCAGTGGAAGTGGTCTCCTTGAATCACAAAAGTACGATATTAAATACACTTTCTAACATACTTGGAAACTAAGTACCTTTCTAGAACATAGTAATATCGTTTGTACTTTTAGATTCAATAAGAAAGAATCTAAGGTTGCTTTTGATAATGCTGCCATTTTTCAGAATCTTTTTTGGTAATAAAAAATAGTCAAACAACAGTTGTCAGAAACTAGTTTCCAGTTTTCAAAAAAAGAAAAAAGAATAGTTAAACAATAGGTAATAATTTTTCTTTTTTGTCTGTGCGTTGATTATAGTTGTCGGTAACTAAAAATTAGTCAAACAATAGTTGTCAGTAATTAGTTTTCAGTTTTAATAGAATAGTTAAGCAGTAGGTGTATTTTAATTTATTCTCTATACATTGAACCACACGTGCTTAACTGTGTGGTAGTTATTTTTCATTTTGTATCTTTTCATTGATCATAGGTGTTTGGAAGAGCTCATGTTTTAATTTTTGTAGAGCAGCTTCATAGGTGTGGGTACGCTTGTCTGTATGTGTGTGGAGTAATGTGCATCTACATTTATGCATATTCATGCAATTCTTTAGACATGCAGTTTATGCGTCCCATTTGTTACTGCATCATATTCCTTAATATAACATTTCTGAATTTATTTTATTACTATAATAAGAAAAAATGTAATTAAAAACGATGCTAAAAATTTCTTATAGGTCATTAATATCCTTGAAAAAATTAAAATGACATGCCCTTGCTTTAACAAAAAAAGTTCTAAACATCTGAGTCGTAGAATGTAAGCCTTCTAAGTGAGTTTCTGATGAGTTTCCATCCGATGAGTTCATGTACTTTGGTGAATTTCAAATTCTTCTTCTTTTTTTTCTCTGCTTTCCTCTTTTTTCACCTGATAAGTGAGATACGCACACCTATATCCTAGTTAGGACTTGAATTCTGCACCTCCTCTTTTGCGATTGACAGATGACACCACTCGAGTTAACAGATGATCTTCAACTTACTGCATTATATTTTCCTATAGTTCCTAAAAAAAGTTTGCTCATCCCAAATCATCAAGCATTGGACTAGGGTTGGCTACATGAATCCTCTTTGCCATTGTCGTAATCTTATTTAACTCCTTTAACTTGAAACAAAAAATTCCTTTATATTGGGGCACTGATTGGTCTTTGCGACAAACAACCAAACCTCTTATTTTGAACTGCCTCCACTAGCTATTTTTTCTTCTGTTGTGTCGTCATTATTCCATCTTCATATCTTCATGTCAGCCAAGACTCACTAACTTTTTACATGTTGGTTTTGACAGCCCAACATTGTGCACCATAAAAGAAAGATGGCCTTGAGTTCTCAACATGAACACTTCACTTGATTTTGAAGCAGTGTAACAAATGGAATATAATATGAGTGTTCTAAGCCGAATTATATAATAATTCCCATATCCAAGCCTTTTAGTATCCAACATGGATATCCACTCCTTCTGAATAGTCTATGTAATATTACTGTTGAGTCATCAGTTATATTCTTAATCTTACCATAGTTTCAGTCCATATATTCTGTCCTCATCCTACTACCCTTAATTCAATGATGTCTCCATGTTTATTTTTTTTGATCCTATAAATGAGTGATTTTTTTATTTATTTATTTTATTTTTATTTTTATTTTTTTTACATATGACTAAGATTTGCTATAGATGGATCAAAAAATTTCATATTTATTTTGTTTGATTTGATGGTGAACCCTTGGCTTTTATACAAGTTGCAAAAGGGATGGTAATTATTTGTGCTTCCTTCATTATTTTTTCCTTCCTTGATAATGGAACAGGCTATCTGTATGTAGTTTGTATTGCAATGATCATTTGTTATCTGACCATTAATTCTTTTACATCCTTTTTATGCTTCAGAATTTTTTATTTCCCTTACATTTTCTTTCCATTGCAGGAACCTTGCCTTCTATCACATGTAACGATTTATAACAAGTCCGTTTTGGAATGGGAAATTTCAGTTGGCTTGCGTTACAAGGTTAGTTAGAGAATTTTCCTATTGATCCTCAATGTAGCTAGTTGTTGAAGTTCCTCTCTCCTATTGATCTTCAATGTATAAAATAAGTCTGTTTTTTATTTTTTTTATTTTTTTTAGATCATGTACATCAATTTCACCTTTGTAGTTTGTATTGTTGTTTGGAGTTTGAATTAGCTTCATAAAGTACTAGATATTTGTGACCATGTTAGACTTTACATCTAAGTGCCAAAAGTGGGGAATTGAGGGTGAATGATGGAAGAGAGCGGAGGAGAAGTGAGATTACTGAACCAAACTTTGAAAAAATTGATTGTCTTTTTCAGAAATGAGAAAAGATACATCTAGACTTTCTATGGATAAGGAATTGTTCTTATATTAATGAGGGTTACACATAACTATAATCATCCATTTGGCACATTGCACTTGTTTGGGGTAATTGATGTTCTGGCTGATCAATGAGATGAGGCTTTGTGTTCAATGCATCAACTCTCTTTAAGAGACGTGTGGATGTGTCATATGATTCTCTCTCTCTCTCTCTCTCTCTCTCAGGTCACCTTATCTAGGGGTTAGTTTTGATGGTGGCAGCTCTACAGAGGACCAAGTGCTTGTTGAAGTACTCATAGAACGCCTGCTTAGTGTTGGACCAAGCTAGCTTCCTATTTATGCCAACAATCTATGGCCTTTTCATACCTTGGGGTCTTAATAACTCGTTATAGGACATGCCATGAGAGATTTGTTCACATGGACCCCTTATGGTTGGTGCTTTGATCCATCATCTACTTTAAGCCCCAATTTTATTATTATTCATACGAGATGCTTATATTATTTTGTTTTGTAAATTGTATATTCAAATTATAATTTTTTTATGGATAATGGGATTTGAACTCCATGTCCACTCAATACTCGTTCCAGGTCATCACTAGGCCAAGGCACTAGTTTGTGATGGTGACATATTGTTAAGAATCAAAATAGTGAGAGACTATGATACCGAGACTCGCCAGCTTACCTCGAGGTACTCTTGTTGACACAACACCAGTATGGGTACGGGACATGAATCCAAAACGAATATCTGCACATTAGACATTTGAAGATGAGAGTAAATGAAGAAGGCCTTTAATGAGGTAAAACATTATCAATGTGAGGATATTTAACGGTTTCAGTTGTTGTAGCATACCTGGTTGTTGTAGGGGGAACAATTACCAAAACTATAGCAATTTTTTTTTTTTATGGAAGTAGTATTTGATAAGAAGAAGATTGATTGTGAATGGAGATAAAACTTGCTGGAGCTTTCTCTCTCAACTATTCATGTAGAGAAAATGTGAGAAGTCTTTTTAAAATATGATATTCCTCCCCAACTGTAATAGCCCTCACCCTACCTGACATAATATTGTCCGCTTTTGGCTCCCTCGGACCAAACTTCCCAGGAAGTTACCCATCTTGGTACTACTCCAGCATATGCACGCTTAACTGCGGAGTTCTGATGGGTTCATGGCCATCACGACTTTAAACACGTTGGATATAGAAAGCTGTTGAACCTACATATAGCACTTCACCTTTACCATCCCCAGGCGACGTGGGATCATGACACCCGTAGCTTGTCGAGTATCTCGCACCCGCCCACATCACACCCTCCCACAGAGGTCGTCACAATCACTCCCTTGGGGCCCAACGTCCTGGTTGGCTACACTTCCGTTTGGGTTCTGGCTCTGATACCATTTGTAACAACCCTCACCTTGCCCAACACAATATTGTTCGCTTTTGACTCCCTTAGACCACACTTCGCAGGAGGTCACCCATTCTGGTAGTACTCCAGCATAAGCACGCTTAACTGCGGAGTTCTGATGGGTTCATGGCCATCACGGCCTTAAAACGCGTTGTGTGAAGGGTGTTGAACCTACATAAAACACTTCACCTTCACCTTTCCCAGGCGATGTAGGATCATGACACTCTTAGCCTGCCAGTGTGGTAGCTCGCCCAGTGTCTCGCACCCGCCCACAGAGGTCGTCACACCAACTTATATTTATTTTGAGACTAATCATGAATGCTATTATACATTTCTTTTATCTTTATAAAACCTTGTAATATTCTCTATTCCATCCCAACTGTTTTTGTGATTGTGAACTACCTCGAATAATAATATCATATGAGGTGTGTCGTGTAGGTGGGTATGTTCAATGTGTTCACATTACATGTACCTAATTTTTTAAACTTACTATTACTGAGTTCCTGTATACTAAGATTTAATGACTAGCCATGTCCAACATATTTGACACATACCTATACCCAATATCAATACATGAGTTTGGGTAATGTAGGTGAAAAAGGCTTTACATTATAATGTTAAATTACACTATAAGAACTGTTTATTATTGATGTAGTTTGGTGGAATTGGACCATAAGTCAATGTGGAACTGAATGTACTATAGTTTAATGTCATGGTCTTGTGGACGTGTCCTAATCCCAGTGTGTGTGTACAAGGAAGGTCTTGGGGTTATAAGCAGGTATGTAGAACCCACTTGTGTCTGGTCCCATGACAAGTGTTATTTAAGCCAGCTAGGGCGTATAGTCATGTGACTTGGGTGTACTGTTGTGAAGGGTTCCACGCAAGAGTGTGGGCCCTTGAGGAAACAAGGAGCCGGGTGGGGTACACTCTCAAGAACGAGGGAAAATAATATAATAATATTCAAGTTTGTTTTAAGTTACTTGGGCTTGAAGTCACACTTTCTATATGAAACTGACTTTTTATGTTGAACTCAGATTTGAACTCATAAAAAAACCAGGTGTAACCTATTACCAAGACATGAAAGTTGTTATGACAAACGCAACGAATCCAAGTTGAATCAAGAATCACGACATAAATTAAACACGCCACACAAAGAACACAAAGATTTATACGTGGTTCAGCAACAACCTACGTCCACGGTTGGGATTCGGTGAAAGTTTTCACTACGTGTAAAATCGGAGATTACAAGTTTTCAGCCCTTCGCTCTGTTTCTGTACGAATTTCAGAGTTTCTCTCTTACACCACTCCGAACCATAAGCGCCCTTATATATTGGGCTACAAGAGACTAATTAGGGTCTACGGCCTATGAGCAAAAACCCTAAGCGCCCTTCTTACAAGTGTTGTGTGGCTGCCATCACTAACACCACACTAGATGCCGCTCATTGAGTTGCCATGCATGTGTCGTGTAGTGCCGATGGCACATTAGGATCCCCACAAAAGCCCTTGGGTGGTCCATGTGCCATGCTTGGCTCCCAGCTTAGGGAAATAACCTATATTGGTGCCGCTGACTCTTGGGGCTCCACGCTCTCTTTGCTGTGTGAGACTCCATGGTTTTGGCAAATCAATATTTTATATTCATTTTAGGGGTTGGGATAGATCTAACTAATGTAGATATGTCTCAATTGCAATCAGTCATGTTGATCTTCTTATGGGTATGCCTTGCTATCTGATGCAAATAATTAATAGTCTTGGAAAGTGTCTAGTTAAAGTCCATTTAGTAGTAATTATGGTATAGGAAATCTGAAACTGTCCTAGGAATTGCAGAAGTTGTCATTAAAGCTTTGTGAGTATATTGAAAGCCATTCTAGGAAAAGCAGTGTCATTAATAGTTGTCTTATAAAAGGGACAGCCTCTATCTCTACTGTAATCAAGTCTTTATCGATATCATTTGAGTTATTTTCAGAGTATAAACTTCTCTAAAGGCTTTTCCCAGATTTCCCTTAGAAATCTAGGCTCCAACGGTGATTGGAGTATTTCTAGTCTTCCTTACTACTGGAAGAAGACTTGTGTTTTTTTCTGTTTGCTTCACTATCATATTAATCTCATCATTGTAGCTTATCCCTGGTACACACTTCCACATTTTTACAAAAATGCCACTGCCCAACAACCCACACGTAGGCTATAGCATGTCTGTCCATGCATATGGTTCATTGTAGCCAACTGAGAGGTTCTTCTAGTGACCCATTAAAATCTGGTCATTTTCTTTTCCCTCATTTATCAAGAGAAATTTTGGTTCTCAATTGAACACATAAAATTTTGCCTTGTTTTATTACCTATAGTTATTGGTTCTCTATTACTTCTTGTAGTCAACTTTTACATCATTTGTTGGTAATTGTGTGTCAAATTTCTATTCTAATTATGTTTCTATTTTAGAGTTGTATTCTGTTTGGTAATTTCTTGTTTGGCAAGTCTTGGCCTCTAAGCAATTGTGATCCTTGTCCAACAAGGGATTGAGTTTGGAACTCTATAAATAGATACATAGGCTTTGGATTGAGACTTATGAGATTGAGAGAGATGTAGTTTCATGAGGGAGTTGATGGGTAGAGGTAGTATGCGGGTTGGTAGAGTAGGAAAAACACCGGTGACGCTGGTAGCGAGAAAATAGGTTCGTGGAGTAGTGGTGTTGATACTCTATTGTTGTAATATCTGTACGAATCATATTGGAATCTCTTCTTATCATGGACGTAGGCCGGTCTTGGTTGAACCATGTAAATCTTGTGTTTGTGTGTGATTGTTTTGATGGCTTTCATTAGATTTATGTATTCGCGCGGTTCTGGAGTACCAACAAATTGTTATCAGAGCCAAAGGTGAAGGAGATCCAGAAAACACAAGGAGTCTCAACGAGTGCTATAACGAGTTGCAGTTGTAGGTGCAGTGAATTGGCTTGGTTATAAGGCATGGAACTCGAGTAGTCAAGGCGGAGCCTTCGAGTTTATACTGATCGAGCAACGTACAGTGGGAACAATTAGAGTTTTGCAGGATCGTCAAGATTGAAGCTGCAAAAGAATTGTCTTTGCATTGTCCTGATCAATGACGTGGAAGCGATGATTGGCTGGATGGAATTTGAGCCAAAAATGGAGATTGTTGGAAATTGTGTCTCAAATTTCTATTCTAATTATGTTTCTATTCTAGAATTGTATTGTGTTTGGTATTTCTTGTTGGCAAGTCTTGGCCTCTAAGAAATTGTAATCCTTGTCCGACCAAGAATTGAGTTTGGAACTCTATAAATAGATACATAGGCTTTGGGTTGAGACTTATGAGATCGAGAGAGATGTAGTCTCATGAGGGTTGGTAGAGTAGGAAAAACACCGGTAACGCTGTTAGCGAGGAAATAGGCTCGTGGAGTGGTGGTGTTGGTACTTTATTGTTTTAATATCTCTACTAATCATGGTGGAATCTCTTCTCATCCATGGACATAGGCCGGTTTTGACTGACCCATGTAAATCTTGTGTTTATGTGTGATTGCTTTGTTGGCTTTCATTGGATTTATGTATCCGCGCGGTTCCGTTGCCTCAACATCATCTTTCCTTAAAAGTTAAAACTTTGAAAGATTATGCTTGATCACCTCACTTAAGCCTTGTTTGGAGTGGAGTAAATGCTTTATTTACACTTTTGCTTCTAGAAACTGAAGCTGCCAAAATCAGAAAATGTGGGAAGTTGTAACAAATTTGTTCATTTCTTGTTCCAAATGCATATCTTTTAGTTGTTGTTGAACTGTGGCTGAATCTTATTCGGCATCTGGCCGTCTACTTATTTATTTAACATCTCTCTCTCTTTCTCATTTAACATCTCTTATTAATTTCAGCATCCACTTACATGAGAAATCTTTTTTAGTTGGCATATTAGATAATGGTTTGTCCATGTAAAAAATGCTGTCTCACATGCCTGGTCATGGAAATTACTACTGTGTTGCATAATCTATACGGAGATTATCATCTTGTATGTATTAGTGATTTATTTTCCTTTCACCAGCCAGAGACATTTGTAAAAGTTCGCCCACGCTGTGAAGCACCTCGACGTGACATGACATACCCTATGAACTATACTCCATGCCGCTATGTGCGAATATCGTGTTTGCGGGGAAATCCAATAGCTATCTTTTTCATTCAGGTGATATCAGTGAACTATATTGCACTTTTTGCTTTAGACTAGACTGTAGAATTTCACTTTTGGTTTTGATGGCATGTCTTGTTTAATAAAAAAAGGCTATTCAAAGTTGTACAAAATTTCATAATATTCAATGAATGTTTCCTACTACAGAACTGAAGCAAACAGACAAGAACAGAAGTCTTCGTACAATAGTAAGGAATACAAGAAATACTCCAATCACCGTCGGAGCCTAGATTTCTAAAGGGAAATCTGGGAAAGGCCTGAAGAACTGTTTAAAATCTGATAATAACTCAAATTATATTGATTAAGACTTGATTACAACTGATAAAGAGGCTGTTCCTTCTATAAACCAACTATTAATGACACTACTCTTTCCTAGACTGGCTTTTAGACTACCCAAAGAGCATTAAAGACTAACTCCTTCAATTCCTATGACATTTTCAGACTTCCCATATCATAATTACTATTTAATAGTCTTTGACTAAACACTTTTCAAGACACTATTGACTGCCTCAATCTTGACTAGAGATACTATTAATTATTTGCATCAAGAACTTCCAAAAAGAGTGATTAAACAAAGTTTGAAATGTGTAACAACAGTTTTGGAAGATCCATTTGGATTTTAATTAGCAAAATCAGTAACGGAAATAATTTATGTAACGAGGAGACAACTGGAAAGATACATAAAGAAGAACGAACTTCTTATAGTTTTATAAATTTGTTCTTAGCATAATAAGTCGCTAGAGATGTAATATGGTGGGTTTAAAAGAGAAAGGAGTCATATAAAGGTATATTGATATGATAATGTATATGCATAGTGGAACAGTGATTATAATAACTTCAGCAGAAACCAGTGAACTTTTAATTACTGTAAGCTTAAACAAGGGATTAGCGTTAATCCTTTTCACTTTCTAGTGATTAATTTGACAAAATCACATACAAGACAAGCCGTGTATCTTATTTGTTGGTGATACTGTTTTGATTGATAAACTAAAGAAGTGGAAAATGTTAAATTAAAGGCATGAAGAGACCTCTTTGAATCAAGACGACTAAGATAAGTAGGACTAAAATTGAACATGTGAAAATGTTACCAAAATGGTTTGCACTTGGGGATACAATGAAAATCTAGGTCAAGGATACTAAAAAGTGAACAATACTGTTACTAAGGTTCGATTATTCATTGAGGGAGAGATTATTAATGGCGTTACTCATATAATAAGGGTAGGATGTGTTAAATTAAGAAGTTCCTTTAACATATTATGTGATAAAGATATCATCATCATCATCATCCTTGCCTTTATCCCTTCCCAATGGGGTTGGCTGGAGTTCCTTTAACATATTATGTGATTAACGTATCATCGTCATCATCATCCTTACCTTTATTAGTACCAATGGGGTTGGTCACACGGATTCTCTTTTTCCAATCTTTTCTATTGTAAGCCATTTCTCCTACTAGAATTAATTTGTAAAAATCATTTCTTATCTCTTCATCCCATGTTAGTTTTGGTCAACATTTTTGTCTTTTACCTTCTATGCAAATCAATCTTCCTCTCACCAGCACATCTATAGGTCGGCATTGAATATGTTCATACCACCAAAGTCTACTCTCTCTTATTTTCTCGCTAAAAGGTGCTACACCTAACTTCTCCCTAATCCTTTGATTATTAATCTTATCTTTTCTAGTTATTTCTAATATTTCTTTTCTAGAAATATAAAAAGAAGAGAAATGAGAGAATTGTGTAAATGCTTGAATGAGATAAATCACTCATTCACGGCTCTAGTATTTATAAATATAAAAAACACATTCTCATATTACAAGAAATCAAAACTAAATCAAAACTAAATCAAATCAGAGCATATTCTATAGCATACTCAAATCTCTACTGATATGGTAAGTCATTCCATAAATCGTGGCTATCATATATGCTAACACTCCCTCTCAAGTTGGTGCGTCGATATCTGAAACGCCCAACTTGGACAATGCATTCTCAAACACAATCTTGTTGTCACCTTTTGTAAGAAGATCTGCAAGTTGCTGAGAGTTTGCGACAAATGGAGTGCAAATCTGACTAGCGATGATTTTATCTTTGATGAAGTATCGATCAAGAAATAAAAAATTTCTCCTCAAACCATAAACAACCAGTCATGTCTCCTCAAACCATAAACAACCAGTCATGTCTCCTCAGACCATAAACAATTAACAATGTCTTCTCGGACCATAAACAACCAATCATGTCTCCTCAGACTATAAACAACCAACAATGTATCCTCACACCATTTCCCTTCATACACATATTTAAAACATGTAGATGGAAGAATCAACAATGCCTCCTCAGACCATTCCACTTCATACATCTGTTTAAACAATGTAGATGAAAGAATCAACAATGTCTCCTCAGACCATAAAAAGAAACAACCATGTCTTCTCAGACCATTTCTGAATAGGTGGTGCCAAACTCACGGGAGAAGAACAGGACTTCCTCTTCACGTAACTGAAAAGAGAGCGAATGATATAAAGTTTCAGAATCGCCGTGGACGACTCAATCCCTTCGAACATTCTATTATTCCTCTCCTTCCATATGCACCACCAGACACAATGTGGTACAACTCTCTAATAATTGTGAACAACACCACTCACACGGCATCCTCTCCAACTACGAATCAAATCCTTAGGATAATGAGGCGTAACCCAACGCATACCAAACAGACAAAAGATAAGATTCCAACAATTCCTCACCACAGGAGAATGCATGAGAATATGAGCAACTGACTCACCATCTTGTTTGCATAGGCAACACCAGTTAACAAGACAGTTGCCCCTTTTCCTTAGATTATCAATCGTCAGGATCTTACCCCATGCAGCGGTCCAAACAAAGAATGCCCACCCTAGTTGGAGCCATAGAACTCCAGATAGTCTTCCGCGGAAAATCTACGATATCAAAATTAGAAAGACATAAGAATAAGGATCGAACTTCGAAGCGACCATGGGAAGAGGGAATCTATGTCATGTTGTCACAACCTCTGCCAACTGCCTCTTGTCGATACAACAAATCCAGAAAAACACATACCTAGTCCACCTCCCAATCCTGAAAAGAGCGTCGAAAGTGCACATCACACGTAATCCCACTACTATCAAGCCGATAACAGTCAGCTACGTATGCATGTCTATCAGCTGCAATACTGTATAATTTGGGAAATAAATAAGATAAAGGCCGGTCTCCACACCAAAGATCCTCCTAAAAGCGAACACATATGCCATCACGAACTTTGAATCTGATATGAGTAGAAAAAGCATCCCATCCCTTCCGAATGGATTTTCACGCCCCTACTCCTCCCACGAGAGAAACCGGACGAGTAGACCAACCACCACTCTCTTCCCCATACCGGCATGAAATAAGCCTTCGCCAAGGGCGATGTCTTTCCCTCCCGTACCTCAACAGCCATTTTCCCAAAAGAGCTTGGTTAAAGGGGACTAGTCTTCTGATACCAAGACCACCAAACTTCATTGGCTTGCAGACTTGTTCCCAGTTGACAAGGTGATACTTAAACTCTTTTCCTCTTCCGCCCTAAAGGAAATCCCTTTGAATTTTTTCAATCCTAGCAGCAACAGAGCATGGAATTTAGAACATAGATAAAAAAAAATATGTGGGAAGGCTCGATAAAGTGCTCTTTATAAGCGTAACTTCCAACCCCCCCCCCCCCCCCCCCCCCCTCCCTAGATAAGTATTGTTTTTTCCATCTTGCCAATCTCTTCGCATACCTATCGATCACAGGGTCCCAACTCTCCATTGTTCTAGAGGAAACCCCTAAAGGCAAACCCAAATACGGAATTGGAAAAGAACTCACCCTACACCCAAGGACTGTCGCTAAAGATGAGATATCCTGAACATCCCCAACTGGAACAAGTACACTTTTAGCCACATTAACCTTCAGACCAGAGACAGCCTGAAAACAGGCCAAGATGCACCTCAAATATCTAAGCTGAGACACACCAGTATTACAGAAAACCAGGGTGTCATCCGCAAAAAGTAAATGAGAAACCTTCATCTGATGGACAGGATCTCTTCCCACCATAAAGCCCTTAATAAGATCAAGATCCTCTGCCCTTTGCATAAGTCTGCTTAATCCCTCCATAACAATAAGAAAAAGGAAAGACGACAGGGGATCTCCTTATCTTAAACCCCGATTACACCCAAAGAAGCCAGCAGGAGACCAGTTCACAAGAACAGAGAACTTGACAGACGAGAGGCATGTCTCAATCCATTTCCTCCATTTACTTCCAAACCCTATTCTCTGTAGCAAATAAAGCAGGAAATTCCAATTCACATGATCATACGCTTTCTCAATGTCAAGTTTGCATAAGACTCCGGGAACACCACTTCTCAATCTAGAGTCCACACATTCGCCTGCAATAAGAACTGAATCAAGAATTTGCCGTCCTCCGACAAAAGCATTCTGGGAATCCGATATAATCCCATCCATCACTTCATTCATCCTAAAAGCAAGAACCTTAGCCATTAGCTTGTAGATACAACCCACTAAGCTGATAGGACGGAAGTCTTTAATGTCAGAAGCACCTCCCTTCTTAGGAATAAGGGCAATGAATGATGCATTTAGTGACTTCTCAACGGCACCAGTAGAATAAAATTCTTGAAAAGTGCCCATCACCTCGTTTTTCACAACCGCCCAACTTTCCATTTGAAACCGCATAGTGAACCCATCAGGCCCTGGAGCTTTGTTCCCATTACAACTTGATAAAGCCTTGAGAACTTCTTCTTCAGTAAAGGGAATCTCAAGCCCCTCCCTATCGAACTTAGAAATAGCCTCAAAATGAAGACCATCAAGTTTAGGTCTCCAAGCTAGCGGCTCGGTATAAAGCTTCTGATAAAAAGAAGCAATCCCATTTCGCACATCTTCGTCCCTCCACATCTCTACACCTTCCACCCGAATACGTCCTATATGATTACTTCTTCTATGAGCATTAGTGAGTCTGTGAAATT